CTTGTGTGGCACTCGACCATTCTAGCACCAATTCATCAACTCTCTCCTTGGATTTTAAGTCGGCCCTCCGTGCATCCTCAGCATCGATCACATTCTCTAATCTTGAGAGCCGTAATGTCCCTCGGAGATGGAATAGGGACCCTATATCTCTTATACCTGATTGATCACTACCTTTACCCACAACAAAATTAGGCAAAGATTGTAGATTCGTCAACCGACCTAGTTGCGGAGGCATTGCTTTCAGTGAACCTACATCTGAGTTATTGAGATGACGCAGATTCACTAGGTTACCCATGTTTCTAGGTAGTGCCTTCAAATAATGACAACCTTCCAATAACAATGTCTGTAAGTTGTAAAGAGTGGTCGTTGATTCAGGCAAACATCTTATCCGTGCATGAGAGAGATCAAGATACCGCAGATACTTCAATTTACCAATTGAATTTGGCAGCTCAGTTATTTTATAGTCATTGAAAGAAAGGACCCTCAAGTATTGCAATTTTGGCAATAAATCAAAAGTAACCTTACGACTTAGATAATTCAAATGATCAACTGAAAGTGGTAGGAAGGTTCGCAAATGTTTCACTTCAGAAAATGCCTCAAATCTTTTAACCACATCATACTTACCAGAAATGTAGGACGCATGGCGGGCCTTCGTAAAACATCCAAGTTGTACATGATCGCTATTCTGCTTATCCTCCAATCTAACACAAATATCTCCTGCTGCCCACTGTGCCAAACCAACAACGAGGTCATGCATTACATATTTTGAATTATTGTTTTTGCTTGATTTCTGAAATAATGACCTCGATAAGAACTCCTGAAAATAGTCACTTCCTAAATCTTCCATTTGCTTATTATGTTCTGGTTGTGGTTGAATGAAACCCTCTGCCATCCACAGAAGAATCAATTGCTGCTCACTAAATTGACAGCCATTTGGAAGTATCGAACAATAGGCAAAGCATCTTTTCAAATGTGAAGGAAGATAGTGATAGCTTAATCTTAATACCGGAAGTATGTCACGCTCATTTGATAGACTCCATAATTTGTTGTTCAATATTTCCTCCCATTCATTCATCTCTTTACGAAGTAAAAGGCCGCCAAGAGTCCTAGCAGCCAAAGGCAATCCACTGCATCTTGCAACAATTTTCCCCTTCAGTGACTCGAAATTTGGTGGTATATCTCTGTTAACATTCCTGAATGCATGCTGCTCAAATACTTCAAAACAAACGTCATTTGACATAGGCTCCAAATTATGAACTAGAGTGCCAGCTCCCATCATTTTAGAAACTTCTGCATCACGCGTTGTCACAATTATCTTGCTTCCTGCTGCTCCATCACGAAAGGGGGCCTGCAGTTTCATCCAGAGACCATAGCTACATGTGCCCCAAACATCATCCAAAACAATTAAAAACTTTTTCCCAGCTAATTCCTTATGCAGATACTGTTGAACCTGATTGAAGTCTTCTGTAGGATAGTGCCGGGATGTGACTGATTCGAGAATTTGCTTTGTTACCCTTTCTAGGTTGAAGTCATCAGACACGCATACCCAAGCAGTTGGTTTAAATTGCTGGGTTGCATCAATTTCATTGAATACTTGTGCAGCAAGTGTTGTCTTTCCGACTCCAGCCATACCAACAATGGCAACTGCATCGAAATTGACAGCACGGCGCTCTTGTTTCGACAGAAATTCCACGACCCGCCTTTTGTCTTCCTCCCTTCCAATCACAGGTCCATCTGGTTGACTGGAACTGAGAGGTAAATTTTGACGTGCCTTAGTTGACGACGTCGTCCCAGTAATGATATTCAAACTAAGCTGGTCCTTTCGGTGAGATATCTCTTGTAAACACTCAGTAATCTTCTGTATTTCTGAGTTCATTTTGTAGTTGAAAACACCATTAGGAACTGATTTCCAGACCTTTCTTGCGGTGCCGGCATAATGTCCCAGCTCTATCTCCCGTTTGAGCATTTTAGTATCATATTTGTCCAATACGTCTTCCACATCATAAGCTAAGTCCCTGAGATCATCCAGCCAAAGCTTCAGCGGCTTGCTCTCAGTGATTAGTTGCCTCTCCTCCGCCTCATTCAGAACCGCTCCAATTGCAGACAAGGTGGCAGTCCATTTCTGCAGCTTTTGGTCGACGCCCTTTATGAGTCCAAAGTACTTGAACACCTCCCGATGCGCCAACTTGTCAACCAGCACTTGAAGGAATGCCACAAGATAAGCCTCTCCCATAGTTTCTTGAATTAGCAGGGAGAAGAAGCACTGAAAGAGTTCTGAACAGAAACAAGCAATCAAAGAAAACGTAAGGAGATGTCCAAGTCTGATTTATATCGCTTGTATAATAAAAATAAAAAAATTCAGAACAATGTAACTAAGAGTAACTCCACCCATTTGCCCTTAGTCATGGCAAGGGGGGAGTTAGGGCAGTCACTATTCACATGAATAGTGGTTGCCCTTGCAAAATCCGAATTTTGTGTTTCCACCCGTTGCCCTTGCTAAGGGCAGTTACTATTCATTTTTTTGTTTTATTCACAACTTTTTTTACCTCAATAATTAATTTGGATAATATTTTCGGATAAGATTTTCGGGTTCCTACGTGTCAATACTATTCATATCTCATAATCGGATAAAATTTTCAATTTCAAATTTCAGATAAATTTTTTAAAAAAAAAAGGCTGGTATTTATAGAAAAAAAATTCATTAATTTTTGGGTATTTTTAAAAAAAATTTCCGAATTTTTTCCAGTATTTTATTGCAAAAAAATTGGCTGCCGTTGGATTGGAGGAAAAAATCAGATCGGAGAGCCCAGACGACGCCACGTGGCAACAGGAAAAAACAAATCAGCGAGGTACTGTAGCGGGGGTACTGTAGCAGTACTGTAGAGATACTGTAGCGCTACAGTAACCCCCTCGTTTTGGACCTCAGGCAGAAGTTGCCTTCGGGCCAGGGCTGCTCCGCTGGAACACAATTTTTTTTTTTTTTCCCTCTAACCTCGGGCTGGGCTCATCCGATGGAAAGGCTCTAAAAGCATACACCCAAATAAAACAACTTTGCCACCGTCGATGACAGGGAAAAAAAGAATAAAAATTCCATGAAAATCTCTATTGTCGTATCTTACCAAATAGATGAAGAAAACAGGAATTCTGAGCAAATAAAATACAAGAAACTAAAAGAAACCAAAAAAAAAAAAAGGCACCAAACAGAATAAATCAGAAGTACCTGCAGTTTAAGTATCAGCAGCAGATTTCTTCACGATTTTCCAAATACAGAAGGTGTCGCAATGAAGAAGGAGGAAAATTCAAAGGCAATACACAGTAACACACTTTTAGAACCAAGGAGACCAAGACATAATATATTTGAAGATGGATGAAACTTATGGGTTTGAGACTTTTGAGTATGAGATGTTACGATGAGAAGATCTCTTTTTTTTTTATTTGTTGGCGAAACGACTCTGAAACAAAGTCTGCGCTATAAAACACAAGAAGAAAATAAAGTTCGTCATCTGATGGATAAGGAAAACGCAATGCAAATTCCCCAAGACTTTTTATCCTGCCGACATGATTCACAGTCAAAAGGTTTGATATTCATGATCAATTTGGAGATTTAGGAGCAATATTTTATGAGCATAGATGGTCTTTTTTCAACACGGTAGAGAGCCATGGGAAGTTGCCTACAATAAAAAATAAAGAAAGAAAACTGATAACTGAGTTTTCAATCAAGCCTAGTGTTAGTCTAATGGCCCAGCTGCAGCTGCAGCTGCTTCTTTCTCACTTTGTTTGATAATGAAATGGTCTTTTTTCAACTCTTTCACACTTGCTTTTGTCCAACTCCTTATGAATTCACCAATAAAATTTATTGCTGAGTATATGAACCCTTTCTTTGGACGACAACGACCATGAAATTGCGGAAGACCTTAAATTAGTTCGTTCAGGATGCCACTGTAACATGATGCCATTGTTGAATGCTCAAATACTCTTGAATAATGAAATTGTACAGAAACAATTACACACTCTCTTTGATATTGAAGTTAGATAAACACTTTCAAATGTAGGTTTTGACTAAGTGTAGTAGTGGCATAGACATTTGAGTTAATTTTGTATTTTTTTTATATAGTTTTCGATAAAATACATGTTATTTTAAGTAATTAAGAAAAATTAAAACCTAAAGTATAATTTTTTTTCTTCTTCTTAATAATAAGGGAGTTTTAGTAATATACTCAAAATATGGACTGAAATTATAAAAAAACCCCCACATGAAATGCACTTTAGAAACACACCCAAAACCTATTTACTAAATAAGAAATGAGTGTTAAAGTTCCTATAAATTACATCTCTACTATTGATTAACTTAAAACAAGCCCAACACAAAAAACTCAAAAAGAACCCAAAACAAGCCCAACCCAAATTTTTTAAAAAAACCCAAACTAAAAAAAATTCGTGAAAATCAACGAGCTGTCCTTACGACCCCTTCTCCACTGAACTTCCGTACACTGTTAATACCATGTGATAGAAGTACATTGTTAATACTAGGGTTGTTCACGGGTCGGGTCGGGCCGGTTATGGGCCCAAACCGCACGCTGAACCGGGCCTTATCGGTAGGCCTAAATGCTAAACCGTGGACCTCTCTTTTAGGCCCATTTTCGAGTTAAGTCGAAACCCAAGTTAGGCGGGCCGGGTTGGTTCTGTTCGGGTATTTGCCGAGGCCCAACAAAAGCAACAATTGAAGGCTTTTTTTTATTTATATTTTCCAGGCCCATTCTGTTTTTTTGGACATATTTCAACAATTCAAGTTTTGACAGAAACTGTACAGTTTTTCCAGTTTCTCCAACTCTGCATATCTAAAGTTTTCATCATTCAAATACTTAAAAAAACCATAAAACCATAGCAAATCATCATCCACCACATCTCAAAATACATAAATTAATAATTACAGTCCGTAGCAAATTGTGAGAGTAATCTCAATCACAATTTGCATATTTGCAAAGTTCAAAAGAAAATCCAAATAAAAACAAATAAACTTCCATTACATATACACATACAATTCCATGAGTTGTTTCATATTCAAATCAGATTTGCACCTCTGCATAAAGAAAGAAAAACAGTTAGTAAACATATGAATTAATAACACAAAGAAACTACAAATTATGATTAATATAGAAAAGAAAGAAAACCATCGTTTCCTATGATCCCAAAATCAATTCTGTCCACCAAAAATCACAACAGTCAGATTAGATAAATAGAATTAACCAAAATACAAATAATCATAAAACTTAAATTATTACTCAAAGTATGACTTAAAACTTCTGCTGCTAGGGAAGGAAGCGCGGCATAAAGAAGAGAAAATGGGCTATCTCACATGCACAACTTCTAGTGTTCTTAGAACTAATCCACAGAGAGTCATCCAATAAAAATAACTACAATTCATATGAATAATCAAAGTATGATGTTGTATACAAGCATACAACAGGAGAAAATGAAACTATGATGTCCAATAAATCATGAAATGATAGTTGTAGTGAAGGTAGAAGTTTGCTTCACCGCCAAATTTAGAATACATAAATATATAAATATGCTGATAATTAATAAATGACCATTTAAGAACGCCTATGATAAAAGCATCTCTTACATATCATGCAGAGACAAAAGGTTTAACATAACATATTCCAAATCTCTTGTTTAACACGCGCGAGAGAGAGAGATCTATACCTGCCGCCTGGTGTAGATAGAAACTTCTTGATGAGGATCGACAAATAAAAAGTACTCTAATCCTGATACAAGCGAACAAGCAATAAATTGAAAGCGCAAGTAGAAACTACATGCATATAACATTAGTAGGGAGAACAATTTCCCACACTCAGTAACGAGATGATGCAAGCAAAAAAGCGAATATTTCACTCACCAGCTGAGCAATAACAAAAGCTGCTACAAGTAACAGACCAGGACACTCAACAAAAGACCAAGATCCAGTGTGCTGAAATAACAAACATAAGCGTTTAGCCAAGCAACTAAGTCATTATTAACAAGATCCATAAAAACGCAAGAAATAAAGAGGACTTACAGAGAAGAAGTCTGTCTTCCTTCAGACCTGGGGTAATACAAATATAAACGAAGGAATTTATACGAATACCTACAAATCATGCCCAAAATAAATATATATTTCCAACCCTAAAATAAATATAAATATAAAATAAAAAAATCACAACATAGTCAGACTCGTTCATGAGAACTATGAGAGAAAAAAAATTACAGATATTAGTACCTTAAAGCCCTAACTCGTTCATGAGAATTTGCGGCTCAAATTGACAGAAAAATCGAGTGAGGAAAACTGAGAGAGAATGGCTGAGAGAGAGCGAGAGTGACCGTGAGAGAGAGCAAGAGTGACAGAGAGAATGGCTGAGAAAGAGATAGCGAGATTGACCGGGAGAAAACGACAGTGACAGAGAGAGAGCCACGCTGCGAGAGTCACCGAGAGAGAGAGAGAACGACAGTGACAGAGAGCTTGAAAGAAGAAGTCGACGGATTTGGTTTGGGGAGAGGAGGTTGAGTGAGAGAGGCAGATCTGATCGAGAGAGAAGGGCGCGGAGGGTCATTTCCCAAAAAAATTTGGAGCGGCTGAAATGAAATGTTAGGGTTTCGCGAGCGAGCGATCGAGTGTGGCAAGGCGTAGACCTGGGCTTAAAATGGAGAATCAGCCGCTGCCACATGTTAACATTTATTTTTAAATAATATAATTTAAAATGTTCGGTCCGGTCCGGTTTTCGCCGGTTTTTCAAAAATTAAACCGGTTCTTACCGGTTCATGGCCGGTTCGGTCAGGTTTTTTACCAGTTCATGGATTTTTTATTATAAAAACCGAACCAAACCACCAAAAGCGGTCCGGTTCGGGCAATTCGGTCGGGTTTTCGGTTATAATGCCCACCCATTAATACCATGTGAAACAAAGGAATACCCAAAGGAAACAAGCAGCTCTCAAAAATACCCAAAACATTTTCAAAATGGCACGAAAGCCCTTTATCTTGAATAACAAAGACATGCAAGCCCTAGGTCTCTCTTCTCTACAAAAGACGACAACAACATGTGAAGTCCTTGTCTTTTTTCAGCAGCAGCAGTAACAGTACCAGCAGCAGCAGCAACAGTGTAGCAGTCCATAATTTTAAACTTTGTTTGCTTGTACAATCGTCATGTGAATTCTTTGGCTTGTATAGTGTGTGCATGTGAAGTTCATATGAAACTTCAGAGAGTAAGGGAGATAGAAAGTTTCAGATAGAGAAGAACTCTTCTTCTCATCCTTAGCTTCTTCTTTTCTTTTCATCCTTAGCCATGGTAGAGGTCGGTGTAATGTGTGTATATAGTTTGTAACTCCGAAGAACGAAGTATAGAACACCAGAGAAGAAAAAATCTCAGTACTTCCTCCTTCAATCAATAAAACTCCCTTTGTTCATATACTTTCTCTTTTCCATTTATTGTATTTACATATTCCAACCACTGTTAATACCGTCTATCACCGTCAATATCTCCGACCACTGTTTATACCCGGTGATAACAGTAGTTCCAGCAACATAAGCAATTAAGTAAGTCATTTTTCTCTTTTATTTTTG